AAAATAACAGGGCTGTCCTTTGTATTATTTGCTTTTATGTTTTGCACTGGGGATCAATTGAAATTTATTGACAACTTGTTTAGAAAGAAAAAGAGTGAGTCATTTTTAATATATGAAATTTATTACAGAAGAGTGGATGGATAACTACTGTAAGACACTAGCTGAGAAGATGGGCTATGACCCACAAAAGTTCATTTTGAAGGAAGTAATTGGTATTTAAGTAGCCTTGACAGGTTACTTCTCTCTAAAAAGGAACATTGTTATTCTTTGCACTTTAATGAGTTTCTCTACATGATATTTGATGAAATATACAGAACAGGGCTCTGATTAGGATCTTCTCTCTGTTCTGCCATCCATCCTATTTTGAACATTTACTTTCCCTCTTCCTCCCATACTTGTATGCAATGTAGTAGTTGTAATAAAATTCTTATATCACTCACAGGGTTCTGCTTCCTTGACTAACCTTCAACTGATGCAACATTACTGTCATTTCCCTGAATACCATGCAAAGAAACTCATTAGAGTGCAAAATATAACACTGAATCCCAGAGCTGCAAGGCCCTGCAGAAGACCCAATGTCCTCACTTCAAAGCAACATGTGTACCCAGCCTAGCTCCCAAAGGACCTGAAGCAGAGGCCAGCAGGAGCCAGAGAAACCGAACAATTGCCACCCCAACTCAGGTAATGAGCAATGGCATGAACAGCCTGCCCAGAGCTCTGGAGCTCCCTTCCTCGCACATCAGCTGCAGCTGTGCTTCTACCCACAGACCTCATAGAAAGGCCTCTGGGGGTGACCCCAACCCAGAGCCATTCAGAAAGTGGAGCTCCAGCTCACTATATGACATAGCACAAATCTGTCACAGAAATAGACTGCAAAACAGGGAGAAGAAAGAAACTATTGAGATGATATAATTCAATGTTCTCATATCCACATACATGAGGATACATTACCTATGTGAAAACTGGAGCCTACAGAGATGAAGGCCGCTCACTGTCACTGAGCTAGTGGCAGGCCTGGAGATTCAAACCCACAGGTTTCCATCTGGGCGATATCACAAAAGCAGCGCTGGATGTGAAGTTAAGGCACCTAAGGTTTTGGTATTAACTAATTGTCCTTAGAAAAAGGTCACTCAATTTCTGTATACATGCTTTGGTAATGAGTGAACAGTGTGGGCCAGGCCCAACAAATAGAAGGTGCTCACTTAAAAGATGATGAATAAATACATAGACTTTTGTATTATAAAAGTGTTCTATGGCTTCAGATTTTAAAAGATAATTAAAATTGTGCTCCTGCATCTCAACAGTGAGCCATTCTTTTAGGTTCTCATGAAATTTGCCCAGGGCTGGAATGGATCATCCAGCCACTTGCTCCTCTGCACAAGTCAGATTTTCAATCTCCCCCATGTACCAATTACACTTTCTACACTCTTCTTGTCACCCCCAAATGGCTTCTACTCACTCGATCCTTTCAGTTTGACCTTTTCGTAGTACCTTTTCATAGGTGTCAAGTACTTCACAGCCAGGAAAGCAAGACTCTGAAACATATCTATAGGGAGAAACCAGAGGAATAGAAAATTTCTAGTTCTGTCTGTCTAGATCTTTGCTCATGCACTGCTAATCAGCATTTAGCAGGAATGGCTCAGCTCTGCTCCACGTGGTATCAGCTGGAGTGGCTCATGTGTGTGGAGCTGAAATTATCCAAAGGGTATCTACCTATAGCTAGGCTGCTGGCCATCTCAGAACCACTTAGATTCTCCCTGTAGTCTGTGTGCTTCCACGGGGTATGATGGTTGCCTAAAACAGTGAGCCTTCCTAAGGAACTAGGCAGAATATGTAATGCCTTTCATACTTCTGAAGGCTTATGACATCATTTCTGCCATAAGCAAAGGCATATTAGATTCAAAATAGAGTTTCAACCCCTCTCTCATAAGAGGAACATTATCATTACCTTTGAGAAGAGCTGTGGGGTAAAGAGTGATCAGTACCCTGGATGAGTTCTGTGAACACAGTGTGCCAACTAAGTAAGCTCTTGTCCAGCAATACCCCAGAGAACATGTATGTACACACATATATAAAACATGTTTGCTTACATACCTATGAGGACATGGTGAATGAGGTAAATTCTTGGATAAAAATTGCTTCCAGGATATTTTCAGGGTCATCCCTGAGGGTAAGGACAGGGAACTGGGCCTTTCAATTATTTTAAAACAAAATTGCTTCATCCTCATCATCCACTTTCTCTTGGATAAAATAAATTGGGCTGCTAAATTTTGGACATAAATCTTTTCCATGGCAACAGATCCTAATGTGTTAAAAGAGGGCCTGTAATTCCTTACAGTATTTGACAAACATGGATATGAACTGTATGTATGGTTTTTACAAGTACCCTTAATAGAAGAGAATAGCACTAGGTTTCCTCACACAATGACACTCACACATGCACATAGTCTCACATACTTACCCTCACCCAAAGAATGTGTCTTTTGACTCTTAAACATAGACAGAAATAGGTAGAAATGAGATTGGTTAGCTTGGTCTTCTGTAAAATTTTATTATTTTTGATCTTTGATCAGTTAGGTGATTTTAGAAATAATCTGACCACTTAAATCCTGGAGGAAAATAAGTCATCCATCTTAGATATGGAAGTGAGTATATTTATGGTCTTTTGAAACAACAGTAGCCCCCTACAGATGGAGAGCAGTGTTGTGTAAGGGAAGATGATAAGGCTGAACATGCTCATATTATTGATTTTAGGGTATTTAATATGAAGTATTTCAAACATACAAAAAACTGTACAAAATAATATAGCTATGTACCTACTACCATATTAATGGTTGTTAGTCTTTCATCATAATTTTATCACATCTCTTTTCTTTCTAAATAAATAAAATATCAACAATTCAAATACCTACCTATCCTTTCCTTTACCTTCCTTCCTTTCCCAGAAATCCTCCTCATCCTAAAGTTGTATGTGTCATCCCTTTGTATTTCTTCATATAGCTGTACTAGCAAAAGATAACCTGAGGCGCATGAAAATTTTAGATTTTATCTGAGCAGACAATGATTTGTAAATTGGGCAGCTCCAGACTGCATGTGGCTCTAGGCTCCACTAAAGGGATACCAAGGGGATTTTGTAGGGTGAATGTGGATGCAAGACAAACAAAATGTTTGACGGGTAAAAGTGGGGGAACAGTGTTATTTGAATCATTGCTAGGGCAATATGCTAATTAGAGGGTTGTCCGCAGTTTCTGATTGGTTAAACTGAAGTTTCTATTTGCTGTGTGCACTCAGTTTGCTTGTGTGGGAACTGCAGACTGTGCAGCCACCTCGGACTAATGACCTGTAAAGCAGTCATTTTAGTTGTACTAATGAATGGGTCTCTGCACTGTTGCATCTTTATGCTTTAAAATTATGTAGAAATGGTATCACAGAGTACATGCCCTTTGGCAACTCATTTCCATCACTCAACATTATGATTCTGAGTTTTAGCCATAGGATATAAACATGCCATAAGGAGAGTGGAGATGCACATTCATTATTGCACAGAGTTAATCACTGATTCAACCAAATGTATCATTCACCTGGAGAATGAATGAATAGGGCAATTTTTGCATTTGTAGAAACATGCATGACTTTGCAGACAGCCCCAGACACCAGAGCCAAAAGTGAAAAGTGAAGAAAGGAAATGTGGTTATTTGCATGCCAGTCTTTCCATTTTTGAAGTACAGCTGCTTTCCCTTCTAGTACATCCCATGAGGTTAAGTTCAGGGGAATGGCCTTTGTTTATGACAGCGGAAGAGGCCAGCAACTACCCAGGAGGCAATCAACCCTTGCTGAAGTGGAGATCAGTGAAACTCCCATTCCCTGTAACTTGCCTTGTCTTCTTGCTCTTGTAGATTTTCAGTCTTATAGGACACTCTCCATTTACTGTAGCAGGATCTACAGCCTCGGTTGGGGACAGCTGAGGCATGAGAAGGATAACACCCATTTAGATGTTTTCTTATCTTGCTGCGTTTACACACCACTTCCCTTTCCTCCTGCCTTGCTTTATTCTCTCTTCAATTTGTCAGCTGCACTTTGATGGACTGAGTGATTTTTAAACTTTTTTGATATTGTTAGAACAAAAGGAACTAAAGGGGTATTTATTTTCAGGACACAAAATGGAGTCACTGATTTACTATCAAATACATGTGAATTACTGTGAATACTTCTCTTGTCTCTGTTTATCACATTACTCTGTAAATGTTTCAAAGGAACTCTTTCTATGTAGAAGCTCTTGAAGAGAGAAAAGGGACTGTGCATATATTTTACTTTCAAGGTGATGTTTACTTATTCAACAATATCTACCAAATTAAATGCTATATTGACCTTGTGTCACTGTCAGCTAATGATGTTTTATTTCTGTTACATTTCCGGATATGTTAGACTAAAAGGAGTGCCTCTGTGCAAATTAAACTGCATGGAAGTTCTTTAGGCCATGTTCAGATACTAACAGATTTGATAAATATATTTGTCTAACAAGGGTAGGACAAAGACCTCTTTGTTTACTGACATACTTTATTGTCATTCTGCTGTATACCTCTCATGTGGCTGTTTTATAGAACATAAAGTCTGGGTATCCTTCCGGAATCTCAGCTCTTATTTATAGCTTGCTGCAAAGTGGCTTATTGTCATTTATTATTTCTTATTTGATTTATGTAACCTCTTTCCACCAGAGAGCCTGTGGGTTTATTTATATGTGGAGCCAACACACTTGCACACCTATACACTCACCAATACACTCTCTCTTTCTCTCCCTCTCTCTTTCTTTCTGTCTCCCTCTTTCTCTTTGTTGCACACACACACACCCTTGAACTTCACTCAATGCTGTGAAGTTACCAGTATAGCACCAAAGATATGTTTGAGCCTTTCTCATTTGTTTTTGTTTGGTCTAAAACCATGTAAAGATAAAGCATTTGCCACATTCCCTTTCATTTTGAGTGTTTATTGTTTGCCTCTAGGTGGATCGGATCATATTTTGCGTCTTCCTAGAAGTTGACTTTAAAATCTACAAAAAGAAAATGAGCGAGTTTTTCCCTGTAGGTGAGTACAACTATTTGTTTCCTTTGGAACTGAGGACTGCAGAAGTAGACGCATCACTTACTTATATGTGTGTGAAGATCTGAATAATTTTCAAGACTTCTTCAACTACCTTTCCAGACATCAGTCATCCTTGCCAACTTGTATCATTGTTTTTCGGGGCTGAAGGAAATGATAGGAGACCTGGGCTCTAAACCTCTCTGTCCCATTAGGTCATTGTGTTTTCTTGCAGAAGTCGGTACATCTTCTGGGTCTTTCTTCCTCACATCACAAGTGAGGGGTGAACCCAGATGACCCCTGAAGACCTTCCTCAGGCCCGGATTGCATGTCCTTCTCCAACTTGTAATATTTCCTGTCCTCCTGCCTACATGGACAATGTTAAGCCCCGCTGCTGGAAACTGTGAGGAGTCCATTTATATTTACAGTGGGAGTTGAAATTGTTCTTGCATTCCATCCCTCCTCCAGCCAATTTTCTCTCCCCTAATTGCAATAACTACAGCAGCATTTTCAAGTGCAATCCAAGCATGGCAGTCATTCACCTTATTTCATACTTCTTTTTTGACTCTAGGAGAAACTTCGGGATTATTAAAGAACCTTGAGTAATGGATTTATAGCGATTGATGTGCCATTAGTTAGACTGGGGTAATTTGAATATTTCCCACCATTCTGTCTCTTCTAAACTATGAAGGATAAGGCTTGTTTAATACCTTGTTATTTTTATGGTGCCATTAAAGTCGTAGTGCCCAAAGTGCTTTCCTTAGCCATGGTAAAAATTGCTTCCAGGAAATTTCAAGTTACTGTGAACACTGTTAGTGGCTGCCTTTTTACAGAGCTTTGCTTTGAGTATTCCATCTCCATAAGAAAGTGGCTTTTCATGCAGTGGGTGACTATGGCAGATGGGAGGAGTGAATAAAGGGTGCTGGTGCACATTCTCCTCTTAAACTCTGTCAGAACCAAAGAGTATGCCTTGCCCACTTGGATCAAAGTAGAAAGAGGCTGTGGAGAACAACAGCAAAAACTCATTGGAGATGCTCACCTCCCTGTTAGTGCTCTAAATGGGCCACATTCATTTGGGTAATTTGAAGTCCTTCTCCCTAATTTTATAAATGAAAGGTGAATCTGCTAAATATATGTATATATTTGGTACATTAAACTATTTTCCTAACATAAACACAAGGGAATTTTCTCAGACTCATCTGATAAAGAACAAGGTTGTGATTGTAACCTTCTTTCTCCCATCTTCTCTTTTTCCTCTTCACTTCCTTTTTTAACCTCTCTTCATATTTTTTTAGCATCTCAGTGTTTTACTGTGTAAAATACATAATAGCTATTTAATAAGCAGTTATTGAGATGAGTTGAATTTAATAAATCTGTCTCACCATAATCAGATAGCTTTTTCTGCTTTTCAATCTCTTTTTTCCATCTTTTCTTTTGATTTCTATTATAATCACAGGGAGGTGACTGATGCTTGCAGTTACAAGTATTGTTAAAATAAATGGTTCAGTATGTAAAAACAACAAATGTTTTTATGTTGTACAGTGGTAATATTCCCATTTTGTAAATAAAACAGCGAAATTTACAAGATTTAAGTTTTAAACTTCTTGAGATTTTTAAAATAAATGACATTATATTCATTTTCATATCTTCTAAAATGAAAACTTGTTTTCGTTCTAACATAATAATAAAAATAATTATATAATTACCCATTGGTATTGAATCAAATCTATCTATCAGGTATCCAGTAATGCAGAGCTAGAAATCACACTGCAAATTTTAGAAAATGAGAGAATTTTAGAGGTCTAGAATATATTAATAACTACGCAAATAAATTAATGCTTGAAAAGCTGCTACTCTAAATAAATCCAAAATCTCATCTCAGTACTTGAGCAAGTAAAATAATAATAAAATCATCCTTAGGTTCACATCAGTGCTTTGAAGCACACCATAATTATGAAATTATTTCTTGTATATATTTATAACAGTAAGCACATTAGAGACAACATTTCAAAAATCCTCAAGGATTGTGAAGTATTTCTGCCATGTTGAGGCATCAGCCATTTGTAAATTCTAAATATGCAATATAAAATAAAGGTGATGTTTAATAGAAGATGTGACTGCTAATATAAATGATATACCTTATTTGTCCTTAATTTAAATTTATGGTTAATTTGTAATCATACCATCTTTGATTAAACTATAATTTTTCCTGACTTACCATATATTTCCCCAGACTTACTTATTCAGAATATCTCTAACTACTGTTCATAGCCGTTGCCAATGCAATAATAATAATAGCTCAGGAAAAAGCCATTTTTACATGAAACCAATCCTTGTTTGGGGATACCTTATTCCCATGTTAATAAATTTCACAATTGGGAATCTGAGACAAAAATGTATGTGAAAACAATAAAAGTTACAATAGAAGAGATCATACAAAAGATAGGACACATGTATAATTACTATATATTATTTGCCAGATTGCCTCCAATGGTCAGAGACACCATTCATTTATTCACTTGGGCTAATCACTTCATCTTTAGGCAGCAACCTCTTATTAACCTTGTGTTGTGATTTGTATTGTCATGGATTCTTTCTAATGTGGACCTCAAGTCTATCTACGTTGAGAGTGGTTTTAAACCAGACTGAGGATTCTCTAGGGGAGAACTGACTGGAGAGAAAGTTAGTGTGTGTGTCAGGAGAGGCACAATGCAGACATGAAACCAAAATGCATGAAACAGGAAATGTATTACAGGTCTAGAGAGGTTAGGGATGCTGTTGGAGGCCAGTAGAAGCTTACAGGCACAAGAAAGCTCAACTAGCAGTTACTGGAGTGCAAGGACCTCCAGAACCATGCAAGACCATACATGTTATCCCCTAGGCTTTCCCAGAGGGATTGTGGATTGTCTCACTGAAAGTAAACACTCATGAAGGGGAAACTTAGTTACATAGCTTTCAGGCTGACTGTCATTTTCGATCATGGCCAGGAGCTGCAGAGTGTGTCAGGTTTTGAAGTCAGTGGATGAAGAATTAGTGGGGCATATCACTAAAAGAATGGGGTTTTAATAGGTGAAAGGGATGGGGTACAACTGAGTTTTGAACAAGTATGTCAGGTCTGAAAAGAATGCTGAGGCAGTAACTATTTTATAGAATCTGTGACACCCTACTTTTTAGATATGGAAAAAGAGGCATAATTGAGGAAAATGTGTCTTCCAGCTAGAACGCAGAAGAATTATATTTTAAAATTAAGAAAAGCATCTGTCATTGTACAAGCAGTAATTGGTTGGTTTTCTCAGAGTATCATTAGAGAAGGCAGAGCTCAACTCCCAGGGTATATCTGAAGCAGCAAGAAAATCCCATCCTTAATTCGTCTGCTGCTCAACAGTTTCCAAAGCTGCCATACTTCTCTTTGTTCTAAAACCTATAAATGTCCTCATGGAAACTGGTTAGTATGGGTCATATTGGTGCCTCACCGTGGGTATGGGAAGTCAGCTCTGTCCGGTCCATCTAGGCAGCATGGCAGGTGAGCAGATTAGTAGTAATAGGGAAGCCACAGACCTTATAAAGTTACTACAAAACAAAAATAGAGTTCCCTTATGTTAGCTTTCCTAGGGTTGCAAAGACACAGTACCATGGAGTAAGTGATTGAAACAACAGAAATATATTTTCTCGCAATTCTGGAGTCCAAAAGTCCAAGATCAACATGATGGCGAGGTGCCTTTCTTTTGAGGCCTCTTTCCTTGGCTTGCAGATGGCCCTATTTTCCCTGTCTTCACATCACCTTCCTCTGGGTGGCCTGTGATCTATTTTCCTCTTCTCAGAAGGTTGCCAGTCATACTGGATAAGGCCAACACTAATTAACTCATTTTAATTTAATTACCCTTTTAAAGTCTCCATCTTCAAAACAGAGTTGCCTTCTAGGTTACTGGGGGTTAAGGGTTCAATGTATGAATGTTGGAGGAGACACAGCACAGCCAATAGCAGTGCCCTTCATGGAAATGCAGTAGGAACTTCAAAGGAAAGAAATCAGCAATGATCTTTCTCAACAGTTTTATGTCTTGCTGTAGGGTGAAGCACATTTGACTTTTTCCTTCCAGATGTATTATTTGGAAATAGAGTATGGCAGTTTTATGGAATTATCATACACTTTGGTTGCAAATAATTTATAGTTACAGTGTGCCATTACATGGCCTAAAGCAAAATAATATTTCTGTGATTTAACTAAAAATCTCTTTGTTCTTTATATAAAAGGCTGGTAATTTTCAACATGTAGAATTTATTGTGTGCAGTTTTCATTGAATGCAAAAAGGAAAAAAAAGATAATTCCTGATCTATGATACAGAAGTTAATATTTTATAAAGTTTAAGTCCTAATAGAAAATGAAGGGATGTTAATTTTTGTCATAACAGCAATAAAAAAGTGACAGTTTTGTAACTACGTCAAAAACTCCTGATGTTGGAAGCTTGAGAGGTTCCCTTTCTCCTCTTCCCTTTAGGGAAAGCCTCATTTGTTCATTGCAGGGGTGTTTGACTATAGATGATTGTACCCTCCAGGGAACATTCTGGACTTTTTATCGATAAATGTGAGAGAGTGAAGGCTATTGGTATCCAGTGGGTTGAGGCCAGAGATAAGTATTAAGTAATAAGTATTTCCCAATGCACAGGTTAGTTCCTCCATAATCAGAGAACTGTTCAGCTGAAGTGTCTGTACTACAGAGGCTGAGAAACCCTCTATGTGTTCACTCCCCTCTTACCATTCAGGATACCAAACTAGCCCCTGCCTTTGGACTGGATGTATTTCTTAGTGTTCTCCCTGCTGATGCCATACCCAAACTTCTCTGACTAACTGGATTTCGAAGCTGTATGTTAAAGATACAGTTTTTATGCCTGAAGAGGAAAGTATTACACAGAATAGTTGGAACATAGTATCAGCAAGTATCACACTGGTATAGTTGTGGGACCCAGGAATTTAGAGGCAAGTACATATGTCGGCCTGACTGGTTAGGA